CTTGTTGGTTTCAGCACAGGCACACCAGAACACGCTTTGTTCAACAAAACCAGATCCCTGCCACTGTCCTCAGCAGGGGGTATGTGCTGATCACCACTGTTTGCCACACAAATGTGTTGGAGACACAGAGGGTCACTCGGATCCACTGCAGCAGATTCAGTTCAAGAACTGTGACCACATGTCATGAAGGTATATTTAACAGACGTTAATACGGAGCATGCAGAAGAGTGTTGTAGCCCCAGCACTGGTTAGCTAAGTAGGGACATGATGTCTTCCTGCATTTGTTATACTTTGTACTTTGCTTTTGACATGAAATTCCAAACAGTATTTTCAATCCTGGGCTGTAAATTCCCAGATTTTGCAGCTTAGAAACACTTTGTCAGCATAGTCCTTTAAAGTTAATGTTTTTATTAACTTTGCAGTGAGATTTTTCTTCTATTGTTAAAATTAATTTTTTTTTTTTGCAAGTTAACTACTGTTGCTTGTGAACATAAACAAACATGCAGTGTCAATGATCACGGTATGTAAAAATCCAGATAAACTTTGTAATAAAAGCATCTGGTTGCCTAGTAAGGATTTGCTGTCTTCTACAACTACAATCTAAATGCACTTAAGGGCGAATAAAATTATTTTCAGGACAATCCAGGTAAGAAATATTCACTGGCACTATTCTAGGCTTTCTAAAAGTTGCACTGCTCCAAGATAAGAGTTGACCAAAATACTTTCAGCAAGTTTTCTACCTCTGCCCCCACCACAAGCTCTCTTACAACTCTGTTTTCATTTCGGTATTTCTCAGGTTGTTTCAGTGAAGTTCTCCCTTGCTAGGGACTCAGCTTTTCATTGGCACTTGTTTTTTATCAAGTATTTTAGTTTGCTTGAAAGACACACTGGAAGGAATTAGAACACAGCATACGTAAGAGTTACCCATCTGATCATCCCTAAACATCAGGATGCATTTCAGCATTAATCATTACAAGAAAACCAAGAATTTACAATGGAGGGGAGGACGGCTGAATTCCACAACGCAACCTGAGATTAAGGCAAACAACCACAAGTGAAGAGAGGATCATAGGAGAGGCAATGAAACTCAGACACAGGCTGGTATAGGATTTCATTTGTCTATTCATCTCATCCTTGCCAAAATACATTGTTCCCATGTTTTCTACTCTGTGAACTAGGCTCTGATACTTACTTAACTTTTATGGGTTTTGGCCTAGATGTGCAGTTCAGCCGTCATCCCAGCACAAATGCCTCTATCACACACCCAGCCCTTCAGCTTAACAAAACAAACCTGGGCAGGAATCACCACGTCACCAGACATGGTGCTGCTACTGGTTGCAGATTTCCAGTGGTTGTTGGCTGGTCAGGTTTTATATGCTATTGCCTAAGTCTTCCTACTCTTTAATTAGACAGAGTGGCCAATACCTGCAAATGCAAGCTGTCTAGAAAAAGAGCAAGATGCACATATAATCTGAAACGTGCTCTTACATAGAAAAGCTTGTACATGAAATCAGCCTCTCATATAAAATGCATGGGATTTTTACATTCACTGATTTGGCTCATGTGTGAGGGAGGAGGGAGTGTTAGTTTTGCATTCCCAGTATACAGCTCTTCCTATTAGTGCTCTGAAATTATTATGGATGACATGCAAGTTCTTGTTTTGTACTGCTTTGGGCTTAAAACCCAGGTTGCTAATACTACCACTAAGCAGTACTGTTACCCAATTTCTGTTTGCTGGCCCTGTCACATAGGACATCAACCTATGGCACTGATCATATTAATTGCTTACACTTTCTGGGCTAAAGCGTATCTAAAGAAAAAGCAACACCCACAATCCCAGATTTTCAAGTGCAATAAACAGAAGCATCTACAAACAGTACTTATCTGAGAAAAATCTTCCATCTGGTCTGCAGAGTTCACAGTGCCGTGTCTCAGCAGACTTTGTATTCACTCTGTAGAAAGGGGCTCTACAGGCATCCACAGATCTAGAGCGGAGCATTCCTTAGGCACATCTCCAGGAACCAGGAGAAAACCTTGGGAATAGAAAAAAAACCAACCTCAGCAATTTAATGGTTTCCAAACCCTAATCACTTCTATAACTATATTTACTTGGGCTAAGAATCAACCCCAAAATATGCCCTAAAAAATTAACCCTCTCCTAGGAGGATCCTATCACTGTGTTGATTTGACCAGCACAAGTTAGACTGGAAAAGGAGAAGAGTTGTTTCGGTATAGCCATACCAGAACATACTTTGTTCACCAGAAACAGATTCCACTTCCGTCTCCCCCCATCCCAAGGCCACCATTAGTCATATACTGCTAACTGAAGTGTGAGAAACACTACACACACAAAGGCAGCTAGTATTTTTTTTGTAAGTTTTTGCTTGGCTCAGCTGTCTTAGTATTCACAATCATGGAATACTAAAAGATAATGCTGAAAGACCAATTTTATGCTTAACCAAGTAACTCTGAACAGACTGACTAAACAGTCAACGTCAAGTGATTTTACATTCAATAATGCCCCCACTTTAGCATAGAACCATACATATAACCAGAAGATGAACAACTTAGTAAAACACTTCCCTGGAATTAAAAGTAGTCATTTCCTATTAAAAACACTGTATTTCCTACACACAGGCAGAATCAGCTAAGTCCACTCAAATGGTGCACTAGCTCAGACAGACATGAAGACAGAGAAGCTGCTTGCATTGCACAAAGGTTATCTTACCAATGAAGTACAAGGGTACAGCCGCTCGTTTCTGATAGAAAACGGGCTCCACACTCCCAAGTTCAAGTCCTCTGTTATCGCAGCTTGTTAGACCTTCCTTTCCAAAGCAACAGGTATCAAGGAGGGATGCTGTGGAATTCAGTAAAGACACAGCTCATGATTTGTTACAACCTTCCTCAGTTAGCTGACGCATAGGTAATTCTGGGTAACATTTTAATAATTGATCTTCACACACTGCTCTCGCTATGCACAACATGGCATCCACAAAACCAGCAACAGGTAAAACATTGCCAAATATAAGACTGAATGAAAATTTTAATGACTTTTAAATTTGTACAGATATGCAGGTTACAGTACCATTGAATTGTTTCACATGAGCTATTTGTACAATCTTTCAGTTTCTTAGATTTCCACAAATACTGACCACAATTTCTTAAGTCACTCAGCGTGGTGCACTGAACTCTGAAAATGCTGTTAACCATGGCTACAGAACATGCCCATCACAGAAAAAAGCCTTCAGCTGGAGTCAGCTTCCTTTTTCTAAGTGCCTGTTCATTCTACAAGCAGGACTATCAGCTAGTTTACTTCCTCAAAGCATGGTCAGGACAAGTTAACCTCATGTTCACTGATCAAGAAAAGTAAGTGACTGCTGCAGCGTAAGTTACAGTTTCAGCAGGTAAAAAACGTGTTATTTACATGTTGAGAAAGTTGCCTTCGTTTCCATAGGAATATATTATACAAATAAATGTTCAAAGAGAAGTTGCACAGTAGTAGCTTATGCCAAACCAAAAATATACATTTGATGTGTACAAATTTTTAAAGCTTATTACAGGCATTGCAAATGCAGATAATTACATTAAAATATTTTCAGTGACATAGCTACAATTTAAATTAAGACATGAAATGTTAGCAACAAGATTTATTCGTTCATTAGTGTTGATATTTGTACATATTGAATCCAAGTGTGCAGTATTTTTGTTCAAGTTATCATGAGAAGGACCACACTGCAGTGACCCTAATATTATGTATAGGCTCAGATGATCTAAAACAGTGACCCAGCTTTCACTGAAAAATTCAGTTCTGATGATGATGCGGATTTACTACTTAACACAGCGCGTTGCTTTTACTCCACAGTGGTGAAGTTACACCCTGTCCCCCTTTTTTCAGGGAAAAACAAGACAGCTACACAAAGTAACAGTAGAGTAGAGACTTTACTGAAACTTTGGGGAAAGCTTAAGATCTACAAGTGTTTTGCCTGTTCTCTTCAGTGAGCTTTTTCATTTTTTTTAGAAGTATAACTTACATTAAGTATCAGGGGAGACCACACAATACATTACACTGGATTTGGAGTAACTGAACACCTCCTTGAATTTCAGTTCGTATTAGCAGTATTAACTACCCAGTTTAGAGGCACAGGAAAGCTAGAGCACTTAAATATGCTGTATTGTAACTTGAACTTTTTTTTCTTTCTTTTTAAAATGCAGATAAAGGAATTCAGTCTTTAGGTTCTTGTTCTTCCCACCCCAGCAGCAGAGCAATCATCCCTCCCCAGTTTGCCTAGAGAATGCTCCTTTTCAGTAACTGTTGCAGTCGAGCTGAATTTTAAGTTTTCCACAACTAAAGAATTTGAAGGACCATGTAGTAACGGATGTTGGTCTGTTTGGGGGTTGGGGAAATCAAGACTTTGGTCCTCCCAGTTCTCCACTAGATACTGGTTAAAATTTCCAGTTTGACGCAGAAGGAATTTTTATAGTTGTTTTTCTATCTAGCACACACTAAGTCTGGCATATTACACAAGACAGTACCTTACCTAATCTGATGATTTATACTATGTTTATTGAGGTTAACTGTGCATACCATAAAGTAATAAAATAAGAGGAAATAGGACAACACAAGGCTAGGAAGACTATAAGCTCGATGAGGAAAAACTGCAATTTACCATGTGTGAAATTTGTTCTGCAGCTGGCTAAGTACACCCTCTAAATAGCTAAAGAACAAGTCAAATAGCACATATTGGAAATTAAAAAAATTAATTTTCTACATTCAAGTATTAGATAAATTATATAAGACTGTTTCTCAGATAAATGTTAGGCCAATGATTAATTTTAAAAACAAAATCAGTAGAAACAACATCCAGAAAAAAAGCTAGTTAAAATACATATGTGTCAAGCTATGAAGCTTAAATTAGTGCAGATAATTTTATATTAAACCCAGATATCCAGACATATACACAATAGAATCATCCCAGTTTTCATAAAAGTTTAGAAGGTAGATGATAAAATTGCACTTAATTCTGAATTAATTCAGATAGCAAGTCATTCCCATTCCTTGCTGATCAATTTATAAGAAAAAGGGAACCATGTTATAAAAAGAGCAAGTTGGGTTTGTACATTCTATTTCACTTTTCAACATTTGGTCATGAACAAGGGCCACGCAGTTTCACTATCTGTCTTGATGATCAGAATCAGATATCCTTACATCTGATGCAGACAAATCTAATACAGGATTTACAAATCCAGCATATTCTGAATTGCCATTATCATCCATTTCAGCGCTAACAAAGTCATTCTCCCATTCCAATCCATTAGAATCGTCAGAGGCTGAAGCTGGATTACTTCCTGTCTTCTTGCTATTAAATTTCAGTGCTGCCCGGAGTATATCTTCTTCCGTTTTAGAGCGCTCTCTCATTGGAATCATTCTATTCATGCCTGCAATTTTAAGACATGTTTATAAGACAGACATACTTTTGAGGAAAGCACCTTTACATTTGCGTTAGAACATCAGAAGAAAGAACAAGAATCCCTTAGAGATCCAGACTCTGGTAATTTCACTCCCGTGTTTTTTTCTGGACATGTTTTCACTTTAAATGCATAGTCTGCAGTCAGTTTTGACCCAAATGAGCAGAACAGCCAGTGACATTGTTTTACAGAGTTCTAAGGAAGACAGACAACATACTGAAACAACTCACTGACAGTGTTTAATTTTTCTCCTGTATACGCAGCCTGCTACCCCACATCACGGGCAGGTAAATAGTAGAAGATTTTTGGTACTGTGCCATTTCCAGAAAAGCTAAATGTCTGGGGAATCCCATAATACTCCTGTAACTTACTGACAAACAGATGAAAAATCATCATGTGAAACATTTTAAAACAGCAGCTAAAATTTAGATAGATAGTGGGTGCATTTGTCTAGAAAAGGTCTTCAGTTTGTCTGAAAAGGTATATTTAATTTCACACAAAATAAGGCAGAACATTCCTCAGAAAACTGCACAAAGACACCAGAGATGCTACTTATTTTGTCAGTAATTCTATACTTTCTCGTGGAGTATCAAAACCCTCCCACACTACTGGAAAGGAAAAAGAGGAGGATTTACGATACTCTTCTTATTCACTGGACTCCTTGTACATTCCTAAATAAACTCCCCTTTTAAATTTGGAGTAACTAGCTAACTAATTAATTACAATTAAAAAGTTTCATGTTGCAAGTGAAACACACAAATCTCAGAGGGCAGAGGGAAGCCACAGGAAAAAAATATCTTAGAGGTAAACTTTTCCCTTCATCAGACTCAAATGCTACATTTTACGTTAATATTTCATGGGTCTTTCAAAACATAGCTATGTTCAACTTAATTATTCCTTTGGTACAAATGGCTCACGGAAGCTGTTGTCCATCTCAAGATACACTCCCAAAAACACCAATACACCATTAGTACTGCAAGTTCCTTGTCTGTTATCGGTACGTGACACCAAAGAATGAAAACAGAATCACTGTATCAAAAAAATCTGTGTTTAAACCAGGACAGTCACCACTTCCATTTTCTCCTCACACCCTTTGTCTTTCTGTACAATACTCTTTGTAAACTGTACCATTGCAGGGCACAAACTATGCATCTGCTGTACTCAGACAGTTCCAAGCCACAATCCTGTTTCAGTACTGCCATTACACAATGATTATACACTACCATTAGTAGTGCACACTCATGCCTAGTTCAGGATCTAGACATTTCCTGTTAAGAACCTCCTCATCTGGCAAGTTTTCAGTCAAGCAGTTTCATCTTTTGTTACTATTCTTAGTTGCGGGTTTTAAAAAAAAAAAAAAAAAAAGGCTAATACCCTTTCAAAACACTGGTTCTTCTATAATTTGTGTTCATGCCCCATAAAACTTTGTCTACTAATAGTAAAAATGTGTGACTAGACCATAAATTAATATCCCAGATGGCTAAACCCCTGCTAAATAAGTGTGTATACACTTATTTTTTGGAGTTCTTCAGTCTCCACGGTAGACATTGACAGCACGTACAGTAACTAAACCTCTTACCCCAAGCAAACAGTCAAACCCTTCAGGGAGAAGGTTTTCTTACACTTAAGCTGGGCCAGATCTACCAAGAATGTGCTAAAAACTACTCAAAGCCCTTGCAATATTGACTAGTACTTCCTTCAAATGACCACGTTCCTTCCTTTACAAACATGAAAAGTTATATTCTCAAGCACAAGCAGTGTTCCATAGGTGATCTTACCCTTTCTTCTGCTCAAGATTTGAGGTTACTAGGGAGAAGAGATGCACTGCTGTCACAACGGCCAACTCTTAAATTGTTCCCTTCGTAGAGCACAGGTTAGTAAGAATCAGAAATGGAACCATGCAGTAATTTTGTTCTCTGTTTTCAGGCAGGTTTTGGCACTTCTCAACACTTACTATTTAGTACCTCAAAACCAGATGAATTCTTACAGCTAAGTCAATGTGACAGTGATAAGGGAAACAATGAATAACAAACATCACAGATTGTTAGTTCTATATATAGCCACTTTCCATCATCTGTCAGCAGTCCTGGCTAACTGGGGAGTTCCCAGATGACTGGAAGTTCATTAATGTGATGCCCATTTACAAGAAGGACTGGGAGGAGGATCCCGGGAACTACAAGCCTGTCAGTCTGCCCTCAGTGCCAGGGAAGATTATGGAGCTGATCATCTTGCGTGCCATCACGCAGCACACACAGGACAACCAGGGCATCAGGCCCAGTCAGCATGGGTTTATGAAATGCAAGTCCTGCTTGACTAACCTGCTCTCCTTCTATGACAAGGTGACCCCCTCAGTTGCTGAGGGAAAGGCTGTGAATGTTGTCTACCTAAGCTTCAGAAAGCTGTTGACACTGTTTCCCACAGCATCCTCCTGGAGAAACTAGCTGTTCATGGCTTGGATGCATGTACACTTTGCTGGCTGAGTAAAAACACTAGCCAGATGGCCAAGACCAGAGAGCTGTGGTGAATGGAGTTAAATCCAGCTGGCGGCCGGTCATGAGTGGTGTTCCTCAGGGCTCATTATTAGGTCCTGTCTTGTTTAACATCTTTATCAACGATCTGGACAAGGGGTTTGAGTGCTCCCTCAGTAAATTTCCAGATGACACCAAGTTGGGTGGGAGTGTTGATCTGCTTGAGGGTAGGATGGCTCTGCAGAGGGATCTGGACAGGCTGGATTGATGGGACGAGGCCAACTGTATGAGGTTCAACAAGGCCAAATGCCAGGTCCTGCACTTGGGTCACAACAAGAAGGCCAATGGCATCCTGGCTTGTGTCAGGAATAGTGTGGCCTGCAGGAGTAGGGAAGTGATTGTGCCCTTGTACTTGGCACTGGTGAGGCCGCACCTCGAATACTGTGTTCAGTTTTGGGCCCCTCACTACAAGGACATTGAGGTGCTAAAGTGTGTCCAGAGAAGGGCAACAAGGATGGTGAATGATCTGGAGAACAAGTCTTATGAGGAGTGACTGAGGGAACTGGGGTTGTTTAGTCTGGAGAAGAGGAGGCTGAGGGGAGACCTCATCGCTCTCTGTAACTCCCTGAAAGGTGGTTGTAGCGGGGCAGATGTTGGTCTCTTCTCCCAAGAAACTAGCGATAGGATGAGAGGAAATAGCCTCAAGTTTCACCAAGGAGGTTTAGATTGGACATGAGGAAAAATTTCTTCACTGTAAGAGTTGTAAAGCACTGGAACAGGCTGCCCAGGGAAGTGGTGGAGTCACTACCCCTGGAGGTATTTAAAAGACATGTAGATGTGGAGCTTAAGGACATGGTTTAGTAGTGGAATTGACAGTGTTCGGTTAATGGTTAGATTCAATGATCTTGAGGGTCTCCTCCAACCTAAACAATCCTATGATTCTATATACAGAATTTCCCAACAACAAGGATAATACAAGCCTGTATGCAACAAGACCCTCAACCAGTCAAATGAACAAGATAATTTTGCATGCAGGTATGCCTGGTAAAGACTGAATGAATCTTGTTCTCATCAGGTTTTCAATAGTTATTTAGAAAAACATTATACTAAGCTAACACATAAGAGTGAGAGGACAACTCAAGCTGTAAAACAGCAAAGAATGCAACTTTCCCATTTCTTAAGCACAGTGTTGAATACAGAGTTCTCAGAACACTGTTTCTGCACTGGTGCTAATTACCCTCAATGTAAATATGCTAATAACTCTTGCACACACTAGCACACACTAGCTAAAAAAAAAAAGATGGTGGGTATTTCTGAGTAATCTGTGAAAGTTGTATCTTTCAGAACAGGTTTCTGAACTAGACATTTTAGTGCTGAACATGTAAAATACACACAGATTGTAAAAACACAGTCTATTAAAGAAAAAAAAAATCTGCTATGCATTGGCTAAAAGAAATCCTAGCTTACTTTTGGTGAGCTTTTCAAGAGTCAAGGTCTCAATTTTTGATTAACTTTGAAACAAAGACAAGAGCTTTTGCAGTTTTACTAAAGAGAACAGAAAGTATCTACAAAAACCAGCAGCAGCAATTAGGATAGTTGGGATACTCACCTGGAATGCAAACCTAAGTTTCCAGTAAGAGTTACAATGAAATTAATTCGGGTTTAGAAAAAAACAATGCTTCCTGAAATCCTTCAGTCAGAGACTCCTGACCAACTTCCATATTTAAAACAAAGAACATGAGCTGTTCCTTCTGCTACTGGCTCACAAGAGGGCACCGTTTCTTTACCATTAGTTTTGTTCCGAGTTTACATGTCAGTTCCACAAAATGCAGGAAAAGACATTTACTAAAGGATCCAAAGAAATTAATTAATTTGACAGATAACCACATTTATCAAAATAAGCAATTTTCTAGGTAAAAGTAATTTACCATTTAATCATTACACACTTGACAGAAATTCTATCAGAATTACTTTTAAATCACCTTCCCTTTTGAAAGCAACAAATTTACAATGAACATAGTTAAAACAGAATCACAGAATCACAGAATGGTAGGAGTTGGAAGGG